CCTGTCGTGCGTATGGAGCGAGCAGGGACGCGCAGATTATTGCAAATCGCAGTGGTAGGCTAGCAATGCGAGTCGAAGCCATCGCGGTTTTTGCGGGCCAACAATGAGCGCGCGTGCGCTATCGCTTGCGATGGCTCGCCAGTGCAACGCATCGAGCATGAGGTGGGAGGGGGGCAAATGTATGGAACGAAAGAGATTGCCACCGGGGGATGCATCTGTTTTTGCACTATAACAGTTCTGATTTTTTGTAATGAGGCGACGATTTTTTTGTCAGTAGTCTACAATTGTTGAAGTCTCAGCGACAAAGCAATACCGTACTAAAATTGTTAATTTTGAATACACATTTTTCTTTTCAAATTGTTGTTCGATTGCATAATATCACTTGGTGCTGTGACAGATTATTTCGCACGAGCTTTTACGGGGAACGACCAGAAAAACAACTCAGTAGGCGAACACACAGCCTTACGCGTTTTGAGATGATGGTATGACAAAAAGTAATAATAATAATGCTGTCTGTTCCAGGACGAGGGCTGGAAGCTCAACCGCCACAACTACTACCAGGAGGGTTGGCTGGCCACGGGCAACGTGCGCGGCATCGTGGGCGTGACCTTCACGTCGAGCCACTGCAAGCGGGGCGCCGACGCGCCGCTCCGCACCAACTACAATCTGCGCGGCCACCACTCGCAGGCAAGTGGCGCAGCCAGTTAGTCCTGAGCACAGCTCGCACCCGTTACCTCGACCGGAAGGAGACCAAAATAAGGCGCAAATTACGTCACTTTTCAGAAAAAGGCATGTGGGTGTGCTTCACTTTCACTTTCTAGTTAGAGGACCACGGCCGTCGCCCCTCTTCCTACGCCGGGGGTCCGCGTTGGCACTTCACTAGCTGTTATGGAATTTGTCAATAACGGCAGAGTCGTGCCGGTGCGGAACCCCCGGTCTGTTCAACCACACCCCTCCGCCGGACACAGCCGCCACCACCAAGTCGCCGTCGACTTCCTCTTCAAGAATTGAACGGAAGCCC